CAACAGAAACACCAACACCAACAACAACACCAACACCAACAACACCAACACCAACACCAGCACCAGCACCAGCACCAGCACCAGCACCAGCACCAGCACCAGCACCAGCACCAGCACCAGCACCACCACCAACACCAACACTAACACCAACACCAACACCAACACCAACACCAAGCACCAACACCACCACCACCACCAACAACAACAACAACACCAACACCAACACCAAGCACCAACACCACCACCACCACCACCAACAACAACAACAGCAAGAGCAAGAGCAAGAGCAACAGCAACAACAAACACAAGTACAGTACAAGCCCAAGCCCAAGCGCAACAGCAACAGCAGCAGGAACAGCAACAGCAGCAACAGCAACAGCTGCAACACCAACAGCAACATCAACGGCGGCCCAGCACGCACCAACAGCGACGACGACAGCGACAACAGCAGCAGCAGCAGCAGCAGTAGCACCACCACCACCACCACCACCACCATCAGCACCACGAACACTCAAACGCCTGACGGAAACGGCAGCAGATGTGGTAGCAACAGGAACTGCAGGGCAAGCTACTTCATACGATAACATAATTCAAATGGTTGCTGCGCTGGTTCCCAAAATACAAAAAGCGTGTGCCCAAAACACTGAAAGTTCTATAATATGTTTCATCCAACTCTGTGCCGAACCTTCTGGACAATGAATGCCAAAATTGGCATGAACACCTGCAGCTAAACTTGTGGAAGCGCGTGAACCCTGTGAATGCAGCATCGTCACCCTGAGAGCCCACGAAGAGGGAGGGCGTCCTCTGCGTTTTTCATGTGACGTAACCGGACTCTGGACTTGGGGAGCTGAGTCGAAAATCCCTGGGCGGACGTGCAGCCACCTATTCAGGCCGTGGAGCACGGGGGGCTTTGGCAAAGGGATACCACAAGGTGGAAGGAGAGAAGGTATATAATGGTGCTACTTCCACTCAGGACAGGTAACGAAAGTAGCAACCCAAATAGGAACGTCAGGTGCTTGTTGGCTGCACATCCTGTAGAACTTCCCTTCTCTCGAGGTCCTGAGGGAAGTCGTTGTACCGTCCTTGAGGAGAAGCTCCAGTCGCTGAACAGAGCCCACGAACTTGGGCCAAAGCCGGCAAACATCGCCCCATTTTCCATGGACCTGAGATGTGGGCACTTGCTGCTGGGACTTTCCGCGATCGAAAAATATTTCAGGCATTCATCTCACTATGCCGACATGTTATCCCAGGGTGGACTATGACTGCCGGTGATCATGCTCGTAGGTCCCAACATACAGTAGCAAGACTCAGGCAAGCGGGCCATCACGAGACTCGAAGGGGTGCCAGCCGGTTGTAGAATCTGTTGGCGTAGTGGTTTGAGCTGCACGACATCGTACAAACCCTTTCTCACGCTCCCCGCTTTGCGCAAATTTAGAACATCCCTTTCTGTGAGTCACTTTGAGCCTCCCATTGTTTTCAACTTTGGAGAATTTGATGCTGTTGTCATGCCCGGATGCCACGCCCGCCGTCGCTACCCGGAACCATCACTCCTGCTGTTAAGAAACGCTTGAGGCTCTGTCTGCTATGTCCTCTGCCTTCGGAAACCCGCAGCTGGCTCATGCAACTTTCCGAGTTCGGGCTGCCGGGTGCTTTCGTGAGATGCAACATGCCAAACGGCATGTTGCCCAGTCGCCCATGCACAAGCATCATGTTTCAAGGTTGTTGACTCCACCTCTGCGAAGGGTCAGTTCCAAAACGGCATGCGGGTCGGTTCAGCAAGAGTCTATGGCTGCGAATGCTGCGAAGAACGAACAGAGAACACGCATGACGCAGAAAGTGTTTACTACATAAGACCAGCTGGCAAGGGGAGCGATCTCGTCGAGCAAGCCATTCGCGAAGTCGATGACGGCCTCTCCTGACACTGCAAATGGTTTAGTCACTGTCACAGTCTTGTCTTCTTAAGTGTTCAGAATGATATGCCTTTGAGGCTCCTCTCATGGGGTTATAGCCGGACGAGCCCTTGGCGGCATTGATCTCCACACCGCTGCTCGTGACGGAATAGGCAGGGATCACGTCGAAGCCGTAGAGGGCATCATAGAGGGACCCCCAGCGAGCATTCACGGCATTCAGGACATAACGCGCGTTGTCGGAGGGCACCACTAACTGAGGTGCTGGCACCTTCGCAATCTCCTCGTCCACAAACTGTGTGGTTACGCTGACCTTGCAGCAAATTTAGATGCAGAGAACGGGCTTCCTGTAGGGCTCGAGTTGTATGGAGGGTAGTGTGGAAGATGTTTGAAGGACAACCGACATCTTCCAGAACCTGCTCGGATTCTAGCGATTTAGGCAGGCCAGGCGGCCGGTCCCTTATCGGGGACGAGATAGCCGATATCCCGCAAGAAGTCCTTGGTGACTTGCCCGGCCCGGCTTTCCGAATTACCAGGAAGTGGGCTGCTACAAGCGGTTCATCCGCTTCCGGTGCTGGCGGCTCAAGGGAGGCTGGTGGAGGACTACGGCTGAATACGGATTGCACGTCTCAATTTTCTGAACAAGTCCGCAACACGCAGCACGTGCGTCCCACTGGGGAAAGTGGGGTATGTTGAAGCACCTCAAAACTGTAGGAAAGCTTAAAACCCAACCGGCTGGGGTCGCGTTGAGGCAAAGCTCTCCATGAAGCACCGAGGGTCGACATTACCACAAGCTAAACGTGCCAGGAGCGATCGTTCAGACCGGTACCCGACAACTTCAGGTGGGAGTTCTACTGCCCAAACAAAGCAGATCTCGGCACCGACAGTGGTCTACAAGGACACCCAATTCACCAAAACTCAGGCCGTAGTCTTCACTGAAATATCGAAACATCGTGAACAAGATAAAGGAATCTTGCTGGGCTGTTCGTTCTTGAGGCTACCGAATAACTTCATAATCATGTAATAAGCTCACGACACGATGTATAGAATAGATGCGTTCGGTCTTCGCTGGAAGCATTAAGGACTGTAAGGTCCTTCAGACGAAGGATGTGACGTGCGAAGTCGGGGATGCGCTCGCGGAACACAGAGGTTCAGGCCTCAAACGCCTGCAAGAACCCCCCCTGCCTATGATCTTGACATGCAGGTGACGAGAATGCTGCCAAACATCAGCGTGCGCATCTTCCCACTGCGTAAGCGTCTTTTGCGTTCCCCCACTTTTCGGTGAGAACTTGGTTTGCTGACTGTGGTGCTAAGGTCACACAGAACCCAGGGCTGTGGGGAAGTGCTTCGGCTCAAGCAGAGAACGAAGTTGTTCTGACCTCGTATCGCTGTTACAGGCCTCATGTCACCATGCAGAAAGGGGGGATTGCTGCAGGTCTATTCTTAGTCGGGACCCCGCGCATGTGTATCCAAATATCCTTGTGTGCTCGCTGTGATTCTTCGAAAGCTGGGCATCCTCCTTGGGCAACCATCCGGCCGAGTATCGCGGCAGGATGGCCGATAGTCTGGCTTGGACAAATCGGCCCCAGACCTTGTCGTTGGCGGTTGGGAACAGCCCCAAATAAAAACACTAAAGATGAAGGCGGCAACGATACCCACAAGACTCAAGAGCACAACGGAGCGGGACGAGGAGGCGGAGGAGGAAGAGGAGGAGGGGGAGGAGGACGCGAACCATAGAACACATGTATGTACAAACGTAGACTCCTAATCACATCATTGCAGATGCCATACACTACACACTGTCACTGCCTCCTCCTCCTCCTCCTAATGCAACGCTGTGCTACCTCTGCCACAACATATTGCTAATGCTACTGCTGCTGCCGCTTCTGCTACACTCCTCGGATGGCGACGACGACGACGACGACTACTTCGACTGCGACGACTACGCCTACTACATCGGCTAGTGTAGAATACTAAATTACTCTCTGTTCTGTTCTGTTCTGCTCTGCTCTGCTCTGTTCTGTTCTCCGCGGCTTCACTTCACTTCACTTCGAGGATGAGTCTTGTCAGGACTCCCTCGCCGAGAGGCCCACCCCTGTTACAGGGCCTTGTGGGGAGAGTCAGCAAAGAAAACACTTTCCCACGGTCTTGAAGTCGAAGGGCCCAGAAAGGCTTAGGCTTAGAGTAAGCATGCTGGATGTGCTTGCCACGAAAAGTGGTGAAAGCCCCCGCCTATGCTGGCAGGATCTTGCAGGGGTGTACACACACACACACACACATGGCCAGAACGGCTACTTGAGAAGAAGGGCTAGGTCGTGAACTCCGAATGCTAGGTGTTCCTATGCATGGCAATGCGCAGTTGGTAGGGCCACACATCCCGCTCGCAACAAGCTCGTAGTTGAAAAGTCAAGGGCAGAGTAGCATGACAAACTCAAACAAACAATGTGTTCATAGTGTAGTTTCGGAAACTATGCGGCGTCCGACCAGTGTGGCTTCCGGAAAGGCAGCTCTCTCTCTCTCTCTCTCTCTTTCTCTCTCTTTCCTTCGTCAGGGCTATGGTGCAGGGGTTTGACTCTCTCTCTCTCTCTTCACTTCACTCCGGGGTACGCGAGTGAGTTGCCGAGAAATGAAACCTTTTTCTTGCTGAGTGCTACTGACGGACCACAGGATTGGGCAAGCACCTCCAGCAATTGAAGCAGTCTTGAGCATGCTTTGCAGCGCCGTGAGGAAATGCACGTTGCTGACTTCTGAACTGCCGCTGCCCGAACCGCAAATTCATTCTCACCATGAATGTAAGGCACGATTATAGTTCACAAGCAATATTGGACTCTTGCCGCCTGTCTTGGATTCAGTCGGAATCCCGTTCCGGACACGCTCCTCGACCGCTCAATATCGCCGCTCCCCATGCCGTCGGAATTTGTCCTCCTCCGTCCACGCCCGAAATCGTTTCTGTAGCGAAACTCTGTCCACAAAAATGTGAGGGAACTCAAAGCAGATGTCGAAAGTCACCAGGTAGGTACTGCCTTGCCGAGAGGTCCCAGTGGCGACCCGTGAGGTTCAGGACATAGATCCGATTGCCGTGGGCTCCATAAATGGCTCCTTGCAGCGATGCTAAGCCTTGCAAGGGCATGGGCTTACTCAGGCCTACGAGTGCCCAGTGGCTTTGTGGTGTCATGTTGTCGAGCGCCTGATAGTACATATTGTCGTCTAAGCCTACGCCATACATGATGCCGTCGCTTATAGCAATTGCCGTGACGCTGCCATCTGCAGCGAGTTCCCACTTCCATGCAGGGTTTTTCCACTTGGAGTGCCTCCAAACTTTCCGGAGTGCGGTGGGAAATCTGTAGACCATGTAATCGGAATAAACTGCAAAAACTACGTCCCTGTAGGCCGTCAACCAGATGTAAGGACCCGGGCTCACCATGTACCAATTTCGTGTCAGACTGTGCGATCTTGTTTCGGAGGCTCTGTAAAGCATGTTATTCGAAAGAAGCATAATGCGGTCCTTACAGTGCAAGGTCTGCTGTATCGCGTCTTGCCTTGGTTCAATTGCTCGCGTTGGATTTGCAAATGCCTCCAAGATGGCAGATGCTTGTACCTCGTAGCTCTGCAAAGCTCTGTTGCAAAGAGCGCGCGCATTTTCACGCAATACGTACATCTTCGCATCATCGACCACCTCCGCTTCCAGCTTGTCTATGAGATCTGGCAGGGCCAGACCACTTCCAAGCTGGAGGCCGTACGTCTCAAAGTTCGTGAAGCCCTCAAAAGGCGGTACCCAGTCACGGGCCATCATCACCGGAATGCTGCCGGAACAAACGACATCATTGAAGGCGGAAACATCCGCAAGGAGGCTGAAGGCCGAGTGCAGCAGCAAATACTGCAAGTCGTAGCGTGCATCAGCCTCATCCACCTGCACAGTTGCCAGAAAAGCGCGACCGGAACAGTCTCCAAACTTAATCAGGATATATAGAAGCAACCTTCTTCTTCTAATTAAGCATCTATTGATATGCATCAAAGGCTCCAGGACGACATGCTTTCCGCGGTATCCAACAGTCTCGGGAAGCCCCACTTCCCGTAATCGGCCTTTAAATGAAAGGAAGTAGCGCTTCATGTCCACTGGCTCGAGGAATGACAGCAAGCTCTCTGGTCTGGAAGCCAAAGGCGTGGGCTCTGATGGAATCGCCAAGTCACGCTGCAGTCTGAAGGAGCTTCGACTCGGACCGATCCGCAGCCACGCCATGTCCTGATCTTCTGGGATGCTGAAATCACCAGCATCAAGCAGAACCAGCAGCTTGCCACGGAGGTCCTGGAAACTGTTGAGAAGCGACAAAATCAGTGTTTGTGCTGCCTTTGTTCTGCCACGTGCGATGAAGCCGCTACCCATCACGTGCGAAGTCGTCGGAAACAGAGTTGCTTCTTCGTGCAGTGTAACTTAACTTTGCCAGAACGCAGAACGTGTGACCCTCGCAACTTTTGGGGGCGATGCGGAACTTTTCAGGAGCAGCAATCTGACGTCTTGGCAACTGCTCCCAATATTTGTTCGTGAAGAATTTCATCTGCATGCCAGGTTTGAGTAGTTCATGACTCCTGAATCACGCTATACTACCACTGCAGCCCCGTCCGTAACCCTGCCAACCATTCGATTGACAGAAGCGAAGATGGTGCTGCACAAGAAAAGAGACAAAACTGAAACACATCTCTCAAGCCCCACATCAACGCTGGGTAGACGAAAGCCTGGCAAACCAAACCCACGCACCGAAAGAATTGACATTGTATCGAGCCGTAGGAAGGAACCCTGGGATCTGGTCTGGGTAGCTCCTCCTGAGACCGGAGCTTCCGGTATGCATGCAGCACCACCGCTTCAGAGCAATCCTCTTGGAACCGCGTCCTAAGCCAAACAGCAGAGCCACGAATCCATCGAAGAGCTGCCATGCAGCTGCAAGCGATGTGCAAGCAGAAGTCGTGCAATCTTGTGCCACTGCATGCTCCTACTGCACGAGCACGCACGAGCAGTAGGCATGTGATCCTAGGAGCTTTCTGCCAAGGTGCTCCAGCCACTCATGCTGCCGCCGGGTAGAGAACCCAGGGACAAGCACAACCGCGGCCTGCTCGATCAGTGTTTCCATGTTTCCATACGAAACCCCCTCAGAAGGTTTGCGAAGGGTTTATTTGTCCGACATTCGGAGATACATGATGTGATGTGCACGGCATGACGTCTGACCTCTTCAAGCTGCCGCACCACGCAAGTTCGAGAGATGCCCCGAATGGCTTCGAAAGCGTGGTGCAGACGGGCAGCGTACCCGTACACCTTGGAGTTGGAGCCACTCGAGGAAAGCTTTGAAACTCAAGCAACCCAGCCGTCACTGCTTCCGAGGCACCTGGCAGAACTCGAGCTCAGGCACACGGCTTTCGGTCTCTGCAAAGCTCAGCACGTAGAAGGCCAGGGCCTGCTTCCCCGAGGCGCAGCTCGGAGACTGGGCCTGCGCTGGTGAGGGACGCCGCGAGAGCTGTTTCGCGACGGCGGCAGCTTGCAGCTCGAAAGTCTCAACGTAGTTCTTGCACACCTGCGGTCAGCCCAGCCCACAACCCTTCAGACATGCAGCAAGCTGGATTGGCCTTGGCAGCTTCGCTTCTCAGCTGCGAGCGGACAGTCACACCCAGTGCACGCAACCTTGCGACCAGTTCTGGAAGCTCGTCGTCTGCGACCATCACACCATACGTCTCCTCTTGTTGGGATATATATATATATATATATACACATATAT